AAATACTGTGTGCTGGACCATTAAATTCACTCCACTACAGCCACATCAGCACCATCGAGTATGTTTAATAAGATTAACTGACAAATAGGTCCTGCTGTATTTGATTATTACTTAGTTACTCAACAGATAATGTGTTTGCAGCTCTATCTGCTCTCTATCTGTAAACCATGGATATCATAGTCTGTCTGCCATCTTCAGTGTACAGTCTGTAAACCTGAGGGCTGTAGTACAAACATGAATGTATAAAAGCCGACACGTAGTTCAGTGTTCATGTGGCCATGAAGAAACGATCCACACTTCATTTAAATACAAAGTGGAAATGTTTGTGCTGGTTTCCATATAAGTAACTGTGTGTTTTCTCTGCAGGTGACGCCATCAATGAGCTGTAGAAGTGGTTTCCTGCAAACCTTTGCTGGGACAGGTTCACTGTCAAACTGTTGTTTTTCCCATTGCTTCCATTAAAATACACAAAAAGCAACTTTTTAGCCGTGTATTAAAGTGACTCTATTCCATGTATTTTTAGATTGAAGTTTTGTTTTCTCAGTGTTAGAGCCGTCACTATGATGGCTGTGTAACATCAGCGTTAGCGTCCGTGCAGCAGTTACTGGTCTGAAGTGGAGGAAGCAGCCAATCTGTGATAGTCGTTTAATAGAGCTGACACAATCCATACATGAAAATGACAGGAGACATACAGGGTACCAATAACAGCATGGTCCGAGTACTGTGTGTGACAGGAACCACTTCATGAAGAAAACTAGTGAGTGTGAGGTGGCTGATACGTCTCTACCACACCATCTGAAATGTAACTGACAATAAAACTTCTAAAATGATACCAGTAAAAATTGTACTTCTTTCCATACAACACTGTTTGATTTCCATGTTTTCATTCAGGCATCGTCTTCACAGAATAATGACAGTGATGCGTGCACCTGCTGCTCTCCACAGACGTCGTTTAACAGCCTCGCCAGCGTTGAATAGTTTGGTTCGCACGTCCTCGCTGTGCAGGGAAATAAAAGGCAAGTGGGTGGTAGGGACAGAGTATATTAAGGTCTTTTCACTAGTCTTATAATAAGTAAACATATCACTGTCTCAGGCACCACAACTATAAGTAATCATCACTGTACCGACACATGAAACCAGCTCCGCATGCTCCTACAAATCAAAGTCGCGCTGGAAACCTGCTGATCCCAAACCGACCACGGTGAGATGAGCCACGCGAGGCGCTCCATTAAAGCCGAAGGTGCAAGATCGATTCATCCATCCTGGTGCAGGCAGCGGCCACAGAAAGAGGTTTTAAGACAGATGTTCATAATGGAACCAAGGAATCAGCCCATCGCTCCATCGCAGGGGAAATGTTTGAGTACGTAATGAAAGAAGAGCCGTCTGTCAGCTTGGACAACAAACGCCTGGAAACAACTAAACATTGAAAGCAGCTCGTTATGACCCTTTGTAGGGTTGTGTAGAAGAATCGTTCCATAAAAATGATTTCAATTGAAAACAAACGAGCTACATAAATGAGCCGTAGGCCACGACGTGCAGCTTGTGTAACATGAGCGAACGCAGTGGAGTATAAATACTTTAACTTGTACTTCAGCAACTCACTTGATTTAATTAAACTGGTGAATTCCACCTTAAATCTGCATACAGCTGCTTTCATTCTTTTTATTGTCTCTCTGTGCCGCTCCCTGATCCTGGATCTACTGAAGTCCTCTTCCTGTTAAAAGGGAGTTCTTCCTCCCTGCAGTCACCAAACGCTGGGATTGTTGGGATTCTCACTCCACTTTGGAACAGATGACTTAATTGATGCTACGTCGACATAAATATTGAATTAAACTGGTTGAAAGAAAAATAAAACACTTGTAAAAAATTTGTCCAATCGTAGCTGATCCCCACCGCTCAGGCCTCTGGTGCCACACCCCCGTGGTGACGCTCAGAAACAAAGTCAATGCATTCATATAACTGGAGAGGCTGTGCTCTACTCACAGACACGGCATCAACAACAATAACAACAACAACATAGTCAAGGCACAGTTCTGAATTGCATCAGTCCATAGTGTTGTGTGGTCCTGTGGTGCCGTCTGGTAGCTGTTGCTTAGGCTGGCAGTGGTGATGGCTGCTTCCCAGCAGTCATATCAGGTTAGCTAAAGGCTACTTGGCAAACAGAAGATTTACCACTTTGTGCACATGAAGAGATGCAGTTTGCACCTAGAGTTGGCAAAATGACAGCTTGATACAGACACAGTGAGGTTCCTGTTCAACATATTCAACAAGTGCACTGAGAACGTGGCAGCTTTGGTGAGACCAGTGTAGCGGTCGATCTCAGACTCGAGGTCCCCCAGTGAATGTGATGAACTGACCGCTTCTGCATTATGCAATTAATAATTTAGGAAAGTGGAGACTGTGGATAGCTGATGATGAGGCTTGTTGCCCCTGGCTTACAAACAGCACATGGGAAACTATCAGGGAAAGTCCAGTTTCAAAGCTGTCAAAGGACCGATGAGCGTCTGGATTATGAACGCTTTCTCAAAGAGGACCCATCTCTCTCTGCTTTCAGTTCATCTTTAGTTGGGCAACTTTAGAGCCCCTCGGTTCACCCTGTCGGGGCCATTTCAGCATCGTCTCTCGAGACCCCCTCCCTGAAAGCCCACTATCATTGATTGAACGTCAGGAAGCCTACCATGGGGCAGCGTCCAGTGTTTATGTAACGCCTGTACTGCTTGGGCTTCTTGTGCCTAGAGCAGATGACCGATTGACAAGTCGATCAGTTTGTTATGACGCCGCAAAAATGATTGAAATAATGACTGAATGCACACAAGATGTAACTGTGTACATGAACATGAAGAAGGCCGGGTCCTCTTTAAGAGGGTTAGGGTTAGCTCAGACTAGCAAAAAGACTGGAAGCAAAGGGACAGAGCTAGCTAGAAAGCGAGACTTTTAAGCTAGCAGCTTGTCTCTTTTTTAGCTTGCTAAGAAAGTTAGCTAGCTTCAGCTAAATACAAAACACCAAGAACCAAGAAGATAAAGGAAATGAAGACTGAGTGGGACAGCCAATGAGATGCACTAAAACCACGACTGTTTTTACACACATAGCCAGGCTAACATTTCTCAGGGCTTCCAGTCTTCACGCTAAGCTAACGCTGTTGTGGCATTAGCTACATGTTTTAGTCTCTCACCAGCTCTTGCTAGCTTTGATACACATTACTGTGTACTGTACTGCATTAACTGAAATGCACCAAATCCTGCACAAAGCCTGGTCAACAATGAATACTGACACCTTCCCAACCCTCCACGGGGCAAACTGCTGTGAGAACTGCTGTGAGAACTGCAGAGTGAGCGGCTCAAAGTCGAACATCACTTCCAGTTACTTTGGTAAGCCTGTGTGTGGAGAACAGGGTGGAGCCGTGGGTGTAGCTGTGGATGCTGATTGGCTCATTGTCTTCAGTGTGAAGCTGAAACGCGCTCCTCTGTGTTTCGCCGTTACAAACGTCCTCTCCGGCTCACTCAGGGGTTACAGGATTCCTCCGATTATACATGGAAATGAGATTTTGTTTTCAAATATTTCTAAAAATGATTACAGGATTGAACTATTCCTGTCTAACAAAGTCATGAAAGGAAACACATTGGCATCGTGTGATTTGGCAATTTTCTCTACAAGTAAAAAAGAAATAAAGGAACAAAAAATACAAAAGTTCAACAAACAGTTAACTATAAGATCTCCATTTGGCAATATAGAAAGGCTTTGTAATAAAGTCTTTGACAGGTTTACATTTGGTTTATATACAGACGTGTGTGTGTG